GAAACAAGTGAGAGGGAGGGGTGACAGGGCACAGATGAAACTGGTGAAGAGCAGCCCACCAGGACCCTGAAACCATGTAAATGGCTTGTCTTCATCCTAAGAACAATGGGAAGCTGTGGAAGGGTTTTATGATAAGATTTGGGTTTTAAAAAAAATCACTCTGGGTACAGAGTAGAGAATGACTTGCAGGAGAGCTAGAGTGCCTTATGGTAAGTGGTTGGAAGTCGGCTGCAGTTTTTCAGGCAAGAAATGATGGTGGCTGGGACTATGATGGTACTGCTGGTAGAGACTGAGATGGGAATTTAGGGGGAATGTTGAAATACTAGGCGTTCTGGCTTACTCTATGAAGACTGAAGCACATCAAAGAGGATGTATCATATAAGCTCTTTTTCTGCTAACATGTTTGTTGGAGATTTGAAGGAAAATATATGGTGGGTGGTGTAGCTTGGCTCACTCACTTTCTAACCCAGCCTCCTTCTAATGTGTTTTACTGCAGTGGCTGCATAGCTGAAAAATCACATTTCCCAGTCTTCCTCAGAGCTAGATTTGCAGATGTCATTTGGAATATACCAATCAGATGCATTCATGTGAGGCACAAATTAGGAAATGAGGTTATAAAGAAGCAGGATTCAAGGCAGGCATATATTTAGTGGTGAGGCCCTTAGCAGGAAGAGTGTGGTTTTGGCAGTTCTGTCAAGTCTTTCTTGGTTTCACAGGTAGCCTCCTGATCATGGCTGGAGTGGCAGTAATCTTGGCAGCCCAGTTGGGGAGTGCCTGGCACATGAATGTTTAATACATGTGGGCTGTTATTAGTTGTCACCAAAGGTTAGCAATTTTCCTCTAGAACATTCCAAAACATTAAACATCAGATGAAAATTGACTATTAGAATTACAATGAACTGTGACCTTTAGTTGCAGTGATAGTATCCACTTACACTAAGCAGGAGCTGTGTCTAAACTAGGAAGCCTAACAGCATTGCAACTTCCTCTGTAAGGATAACTTGATTGTAATAAAGAAGAATTTTTGGTCAAAAAGTTAAAAATGTCAACAAAGACATGTAGGAAGTGACTGTTTGCTCCTAATTCCCAAAATAAATTCTCCCTTTTCTGAAGACAATTTTGGTACTGTTTCTTAGGACATTTTCCATTTTTAAGCTTTATTGTAGTTATTTATGTCCATGTCTGATCTGTCCAATATATGAAACTATATTAAAACATTGAGGGCGGGGCACTTTGGCTCTCTTAAAGTGCCTGCTAAGAATGGTCCCTTATGCAAAGGGAGCTGTCAACCTATATTTAATAAAGGAATTGGTGAATTCTTGTGCAGTCCTCAGTCATGAGGACTAATACTGTTGAAAGAATGCTTACAAGGTGTTCTTGTGCAACTAAATACTTTGACTCATTTTCTAGATAAAAGTGAAGGAGCCAGAAAACACGTAGGAGTGTACAGGGTACGGAGGGCTACATTACTGCTTCAGAAGTGTTTTCTCCACCTCTCATCAGTGGTGGGAGTGGTAAAAAGAGGACACTTTAAGATGGTAGGAGACCCAGCCTCTCACCCCTCATTAGCTGTATGATTATAGTCAAGGTGCTGTAACTCTCTACCCCTCACTCATAAAGGGGTTTAATGAGGTGATGATTTAGAGTTCATTCTTATTACATTTGTCTTGTAGGCATCATTTCAGAAGATTGGAGCTATACTCTTATGACGACTTAAGTCTTAATCTTAAAATGGCTTAAAATTCATGTAGCCCTAGCATGGTAATTCAGCATCCTCTTAATGTTGGCCCTAATCTAGCAGTAGTAGCTTCCTAAAGCACTGTGTTGAGAAGGATTCTGAGGCCCTATTTGGACTCTGTGGGGAAGACCATCTTGACTTTATAGTGATGTCTGGCATGAAGCAAAGAGGGAAGTGGCAGCAAATAAACCAATATATGTCATCCTTGATACAATCCAGTGCCCTCACTTCACATGCCAGGCACTGTCCAAATTGCTTTTACATGCACACATTTATTTAATTCTCAGCCACTCTTAAGAAGTTAGCATTACTATGATTCCCATTTTACAGATGAAGTTTAGAGAAGCAAAATATGCCTGAGGTTCACTCTGGAAATCCCTATCTTTAAGTGCTTCCATATACTGCCTTCTAATCTGTGGGCACTTACATGCCAGGCTGATGTTACTCTGCCAGGAGCAATTTTGCCTTCTGGGGGACATCTGGTGATGTCCGGAGACCTACTGTTTGTGGAGGAGGGTGTTCCTTCAATCTAGTAGATAGAGGCCAGAGATGCTGCTAACTGCACAGGACACCCCCGACCCCACGACAAAGAAGTAGGTGGCTCAAAAAACCAACAGTGCTGAGATTGAGAACTCTGAGTTAGTCTGTGTGAAAGTTGTTTTCAGACTTGATGATAAAGCTCTTCCTGTAGCCCAGTAAGGTACAATTACTTCTTTCCTTTAAAGGAAGGTGCTCTCAGCATCAGTAAGTGGTCATGACAGGACAGGAACCCAGGTAGTCTGATTCTAGAGGCCTCTGGAGTTCCTCACAATGACTCTCCATTATCATCAGCTTCTCTTACTGTCAAAACACATAAACTCCAGTAACATCAGCTTTCCTATTATTAATTTCATTAGTTAAGAATGTTCAGCCAATGGAAAAATTCCCACTGTCTCCAAAGATAAAAAGTATTTGTTCAACAGTTCAAAGAAAAATGTCTTTAGAAGCTCTTATGATAGAACCATTGATATCGCTGGAGTAGACATTCAGATCTTGCTTTAAAATAAAACCGAGGAGAGAGCTAATTTAGGACATAACAAGCTTTTTCAAGAAAAATTAGCTTTGTGTGGGATTCAACTATTTTTCCTTTTGTTTTTAGGAGCTGGCAAGCCTGGACGCTTATTTAGGAATAGAAGAGGAAATGAAACTATGAAAAGACACAGTATGATTCCTCTTTTTCTTGGAGGCAAGGCACATATGAATATGAATAATACTCTCCACCTGTCCAATTAACTGCCAGAGGTACAAATAGAAAAATATATATACACACTTGATTATTTGGAAGAAACAGAAGAAAAAAGCAAACAACGGGGATTCTAATTACAACAATAAAACTCTATGCAAATAACTTCCTTTCAGATTTAAGGCTTTTCTCTCCCAGAAACAATGCTAATGAAACGATGAGGCTGGGGCATAGAGAGAGCAAAAGAAAAGGAGAAATAAATGAGCTTGAAGGAGGAGGGGAAGGAAAGAGTGAGCTTCTCTCTTGGAGTGGAATCCTGAAAAATGGAAGAAGAGTTGGGAAGACAGTGTAGGCTGCTCAGACAGTCCGGGCTGGGCGTGGGCAAGGTGTCCCCTTTAATTCGTAATGAAAGATCTGGGCGCCTGCCAGACACAGTCATCCACCACCCAGCGTTCGTTGGGCGCCGGGGATTTAGGAACCTCCCAGAGATTCGGTTTTAAATCTTCTCCAGTAAGGTACCTTGGCGTGCCGACGCGGGCATCCTGACGGTGGGTATGTTCAGCCAGCCGATCGGGATCTTCCAGCCCTTGCTCACCGCCTGCCATACCCAAGGTAGACAGTCCCAGACATTCTACGACGGGCATGGTTCCAAAAAGCGGAGCACCCAGCGCGATGAATAAAATGTGAATAGCACGGCTCGGGCAAGAGCCTCAGAAATCTTAATTTAGGATCGAGTGCGCAGACGGCAGGTGGCACTGGAATTTAACATTCTGAAGCCCCTGTCTGTGCCAGGCACTGTGCCTAGTGAACCACACTCCTTGTTCAGCTCGGTGAGGTAGGTTAGATGGGTCTTCAGGGATGCTGAATATCTTGCATTTGCCCTTCCCTTTGTCTGGAACGCTCTTCCTGAGACCGAGGTGTGGCAGCTCCTTTTACTGGTTCAGGAATCTGTGTAAAAGTCACCTTGGTGGAGAAGCCCTCAGCGGGCTTCGCAGCTCCCTATCACACACATCACTTTTGAAAGCTCTGCTCAGTCATAACCTTAGTGCTCAAAGTTCATCAGCATTTACTCTTTCGTTGACTTTTGTATATGTTCTTTGTTTACGGTCTGTCTCCCCACTAAAAAGTAAGGTCCGTACGAGCAAGAACCTTGGCGTGCCATTCATACTGTTACATGACAACATCAGCTCCAGGCGCACACAACAGGCGCTCAGAAAATGTTAAAGCGCTTCCATCCCGCCACCTGAGGCACCTGACTCATTTACAGTAGCCAGAATGACTTCACGTGATCAGTCGCTCGCATTCCTGCTAGGATCCGAGAAGGCCGAGGAATGAGTGGGCGGGCAGTCAAGTCGGTTGGACTTCTTCGTCTGTCAAGGAGCTCCTGCATTTTAACATTAACTGTGCTTTTCCTCCCCACCCCCTTGCACACGAACACCATAGAACAAAAAGACTACACTCCTCTCGGATCCTTTCCTGGGACCTTGGCACTAATGTGCATCACTGCCTCTGGATGTCAGGGTCACAGTCTCGAGCCGGGGCCCCATGCCGATTCTGTCCTCGGTCATCCCGTTCCAGCAATCCTCCCATCACCACGTTATTTTCTCCATTCTCGATCTCTTCGACTCGGTCTGACTTCCTCAAGAAGTCGAGTCCACTTTGCCTGTTCCATCACTTGTCTGGAACCTTCTACTTAAACCAGCGCTTCCCAAGCCCCTGCCTCCCAACTTTTTCCTTCTTCTCTGGCCCGGAAACGTCAAGCGACGACACTTATTGAGCGCCTACAGCACGCACGCAGAGCGCCGGCCGAGGGGAGTCCCTCCCCGTCCAGGTGGCAGCTCTCACCCCCCTCCACCCTTCCCACCTGTGGGGGAACCCGGAGTCTCTTCTCCGTAGACTGCGTCATGGAATCCTCCCGCTACTTCCAGTGCATCGCCCCACCCCTTCCCCGGCGACGACTTCTGATTGGTGGGAGTGTGGGTCCCTCAGCAGCCCCTCCCGCCCTCCGAGCACCTCCGCTCTCTCCTCGTGTGGTCCCTCCCCTAGGGCGGGCGCAGGCTCCTCCTTGTCTCTCCTGCCGCTCGCTCCCACCCTCCTGCTAATCCGGCGGCGCGCGGAGAAGTTCTGGGCAAAGTACTGAGAACGGGCCGCGCAGTCGCTGCGCCGACGAGCCGTCCCCGGCTGGGGGACTTGAGCGCTAGGCGGCTAGTGGGCTCCACGGACGCCGGCCCCGCCGTCCGTCTGCCAGTGGCCGACCCTGTCTCCGTCTCTTGCGGCTGGTACAGGAACAGTCAGCTGTGCTTTGCGGGGGGACCGGAGGAACCTGGATTGTCTCCTCCCGGATCTGTGGGCCAACCCCGGAGCGGAGCAGCGGGGAACGAGGCGGCGTCCTCGGCGCCAGGGCGCACAGGTAGGCACCGGGACGGCCGCCGCAGTGGTGCTGGGATGTGGTGGGGGCCCGGTGGCGGCGCGGGCCCGGAAGGGCTGCGATTTCTGCGGGCGCCACCAGCCTCCACAGACCGAGTCTTCCTCCAGTCTCCGGGCCGGTGCAGCCGCGTGAGCCCGGGAAGTCGCTCTCGGTGCCGGCGCAAGCCTCCCGCGAGGTAGGGCCCCAGGGCTGCCCACCCTAGAGCGCCTTCCTCAGGAGCGCTGGGGCCGGGATTGACGGCGAGAAGGCTCGGAGCGCGGCGGCCTGGATGGCGGCGCCGGGGGATGTGGCGCGGAGGGGCTGTCCTGGGCAGCCGGGACCGAGGCGCTAGGGCGAGAGGCACAGGAAACCTGTTTTAAGAGGGCCGAGTGTGAGGCTTTACCACATCCGCGGGATGGGGCGTGCCGGGGGACGCGCGCGACGCTGGCCTGCTCTGCTCCCCGGCGCCCCGGCTGGGGGCCGAGGACACTGGCCCCTTCTGACTTCCCAGGGTCCTAGGAAGCGTTTGCAGCCTCTAGTCACTGATAAACTGGTTTTGTCGTAGATCGTCCAGATATTTAAGCCAGGCGCACTCCGCCTTCCTTCGGAAATGCAACTTGCCAGTCACTTACTGTACATTTGTACTGTGCCTCCTCGGTCTCGCAAACTACCAGTCTCCTTAGTCGGGACTCTGAGCTGAGGGTGCTGTGAAGCTGTCGCGTGTGACGTGTCTGGGAACCTGAGGCCTCTCAGGTGTTGCACTGACCCTCAGGAAGCTTGAATGCTGGGATGGGGGCATTTAGAAATAGTTTAAGCTGCCACTGCAAAAGTGTAGGTCAGATATCTGATAATCCAGTCTCTACAACAAGCATCATGTAAGGTGAGGTCCCCCTTCTGGCCAAAGGAGACCAGTCAGGCAGGCCTGGGCCGAAATGCATCCAAGCTAAATGACCTTCTCCTCCACCAGCTGGCTAGCACTCTCAGCCTGTTTGGTGTTCCTCATAGCCTCATGGTGTTCCTCTCTGAAATTACCTCCGTGGGCTGTTTACTATCTGCCTTCCACCACATCCCAGAATGGACGTTCCAAGAAAGCAGTAACGTCTTCATACTCCATCCCCAATGTCAGAAACAGTGCCCCACCCCCCACAGTAGGTGTGCAAGAAACATTTATGGAATAAATGAAAACTTCTCAGTGAAATGTGAGGAATGGTGACTTAATTAAGCTGGTTGTGATTTTCATGTTTGTTTATCCTTTTTTTTCCTACTCGGAAAATTAACAAATGCCAATAATTACTATGGATTGAACACTTACTAAGAACTGGATATGTACTAGGAACTTTGTATATATTGCCTCATTAAACGTTACAATAGTTGTATTAGCTAGGTATTTCTAACCAGATGGGAAACTGTGAGTCTTTAGCAGGTTAACCAATTCCCCAAGATTATCCTGGCATAACTAGAATTTCAGCCCATTTCTCACTATTGTGTTGTGATGCTTCCAAGAAACTAAAGAGGTTTCCATCATCATAGCCAATAGACATTTAGCTTTATTTGTAACAAATGACATATTGCTTAGCCAAAAGAAGATCTGTTGTTCTATCATTATGGAGATATAATTTGAATAATAGCTAGTAGTTACATTGTAGGCTAGTTACTATCAGACTGCTATAGGCTGTATTATCTCATAGTCTTCACCATCTTGATAATGTTGTGAAGTTATTGCCATTTTTCAGATGAAGTAACTGCATCCAGGTTCAGGAATTTACATAGGGTCAAGAATAAACTGCTGAGCTAGATTTTGTTAATATTCTTTCTGCTTCGAAAACTTTAGTTCCTTCCACTACACCAAAATGTCTCCTGCTTAAACTATGTAATTAGATGTTAACTTGTTATGATAGAGTACAATGATACAATGTTTTTAAAACCATCTGAGGTTGGGCTATAAACTTTCTGCTGCCAGTATCAAGTGTTTGGTTGTACTATTGTCTGAATTGTTGAGACTCTTACTACCATTGATTTTTGTGGTTGATTTTATGGTTTGTGGGCCTGGTAGGTGGGAGACTTTTAATATGGGAGGAAAGGAAATTCTAAAGAGAAATCCAATGGGTTTTGCTACCCCTGTGGTAAGTGAATTCAGAGCACAGTAGTGCTTTATGCCTCTTAAGGAAAGTACAGGAAAGCCAGTTAGGTCCTCTGTTTCCTGTGTATAATGGAGAGTTAGAAACCACAACTAATTCCAAAAGCTTCTGCAACAACGTTTTAGTGAAATAACTACATTTCAACTCTTTGTACTCTTGCAGTGAAACTGAGGGCAAGGAGAAGTTAGACAATAATGTCACTGTTATCTGTTAAAGGACTAATGGCAAGATAGGGATGGAAAGGAATTAGGGATCTCTTTTTTCTTTTATTTCTCTTACAATTTTAGGGGATAGTACAATGTTTTCCCTGCATGAGGGTTTGAAGAACCCAGAGTTTTATTTATAACATGCCTCTCAGCAGTGCTGTATTTTCTAAATTGTGAATTCCATTTCAGGGGGTTCTCCAGGGAGAGTTGGAGAATCCTCCAACCTATAAAGCCCACAGAAGAGATGGGGGTGTGGGACACTAAAGAAGTTGGAAGCTGTTAAGTTGAAATAGCCTTCCATACATAATTGAGAATTGTTTATGGTTTCTTGTGAATTCCGTTCCTGTCTTCATCTTACTCATCAACTTTTTAGCCCACTCCTCTGTAAACTTCCTTCTTGATTTCCCAGTCCCGACTGCTAAGATCATGTTATGCTCTCCCCAACTTTTGTCTCTTTCTTTCTTAGTGTCTTTCATCCATCTCTTACCATTGTCCCTGCACAGTCCTAGTTCAAGCTCTTAGGGACTTCTGTTCTCTGTCCTAATGTTGCTCACAGGTGGATTTTTCTCCCTCAGTTTCTCCTTCATATCATAGGTAAATTCTTTAAATCCTGTCATTACATTGCTAACAATTCTTGAGTGGCTTATTTGGTTAATAATAATAGTAATGTTAATAACAGAAGAAGTGGCTGCTGAACTTCTTGTGCCAGGTACTGTCATAATGCTGTATGTGAATTCTTGTGTTTAATCCTCAGAGCAACACCAAAGCAAATGTTATTATACTCCCAGTCTCCAGATGAGGCTAGGTAAAGTTAAGTCTGCAACAGCTATACAACTAGCACAGGGTAGAGCTGAAACTCAAACCCAGATCCTTTCTCTCCCCATTTAAGTGTAGATGCCTCAGCCTGAAGTCAGGATCCAGCAGCCTGGGCTGGGTCTTTACCCCATTGTACTCTAACCCTGTGCACTGGCAGCCTGAATTTTACTTAGCATTTTGTCTTTGTCCATGCATTCTTGTTGTCTGCCTAGAAAGCTCTTTCATTGTCTCTTGTGAAAACCCAGGTCTTTCAAGGCCTAGTTTAAAAATCACTTCTGCTAGAATGATCTCTCTAAACTCAGTCTCTCAGCATTTAAAAAAAAAACTAAAAACATGAGAGCCCCTAGTAGGTTTCTGACCACTGAGTACGTTAGTTATTTATTTATTCAAATGTATTCAAATATGAAACAATTATGTTTGGTTATATTCTGTTAGACTACTCTGTGAAGAAAAGAATTGGAATGTGGCATTTTGTTTCTTTTTGATTCACAATAGTGTAATGCCTCTGTCAATTTATGATGAAATAATAGAATTTCTAGTTATTTAAATCCATTGAAAGCAGGTATTCTATTGTTTTCACTGTAGAGATTTTGCAAGGTCTCAAACCCACGCTCAAAACAAACATATTTGAGTATGTAAAATAAATACCTTGTACCTTATATGTAGTATTTTGTTCATATATATGGTAATGTTATTAAAGATTATTAAAGCTGTTACAAAATTTAAATTAATTTTTCTCAATATTGTACTGACCAATATAGTTCACATTTTTAACCTGACTTACTAGATGATCTACTCTGTGAATCAGCTCCAGCTCACGCTCATCACTCATTACCTAGCTCTGTGTGGTCCTGTCACATTGAACTAAATTCAGCACCCTACCTGTATCCTCAAGGCCATGCATAATATGTTCTGGCCTCTCAGTTTTTGCATAATCTGGACTCCATAATCCTTTTCTCCTCTCCTATTTTCACCTAATTCCCTCTCATCCATCATGTTTCAGCTGTGATGTCACTTGTCAGACATCTTCCTCTGCCACCTGTACCTTGAGATTGGAGGACACTCATAGCACTCTGTGCCTACCCATTTATAGGGACCAGTTATCATACTGTTTTGTAACTGTTGGTCACTTGATTGAATCTTCCCTGAAACCACTGGCTCTCATTTGGCTAACATTAGAACCACCTTAGTATCTTTAAAAATTTTCCCTACCTAGGCTCCACACCCAGAGTTGCTGGATCAAGTGGCCTGGGAAAAGGAGGGTTGGTCACTGAAATTTTCATTTTTTAAGGAGTTTTCTTATTATTGTATCTGGGTAGTATTCCATTGTGTGAATGTAGTATACTTTATCCAGTTACTTCTTTCAAAAAAAAATAACATCTTTATTGAGGTATAGTTCACGTTTCATACAATTCATTCAGAGTATGCAATTCAGTGATTTTTAGTTTATTCACGGTTGTGCAATCATCACCATAATTAATTTTAGGACATTTCATCACCCCCAAAAGAAATATGCAACCATTAGTAGTCTTCCCCACTCGCCTGCAACCACTACTCTACTTTATGTCCATATATGTGTTTGCCTTCTCTGGACACTTCTTATAAGTAGAACCACACAGTATGTGGTCTTTTTTGTTCTTTCACTTACCATGTTGTATTCAAGATTCATCTCTGCCTAGTAGGATCAGTACTTCACTTCTTTTTATTGCCTAATAACACCCCATTGCATGTATATAATGCTTTTTATTTACCTACTTGCCAGTTGATAGAACTGGTATTGTTTTTTTATGCCTTTCTGGAGCAATATTAATGTGCTGTCATGAACTAAATCTGAAGTTCCTTT